GAATATTTTGCAGGCTATACCGGGCTGAGCAACGACAGCGCCTGGTGAGTGAATCATTTTATACTTGCGAGTCTATTTGCCGAAACGGCAGCGAATTATCTCACGATGATGTTTCAATGCCCTCGTAAGAAATGTCGTATGTTACGACCACTTGTTTGAGAATCCCGCACGCTGCGCAGTGTGTCCGCGATCAAAAATATCGCCCTGAGAAAATTTAAATAGAGCGCTGAATCGTTAGAGAAGATTAAGGCCAATTTCGCGTAAGAAAGTGTCACACGTATAAAATTATGCATGGAACCCGTTAAATGTCTGGAGGAACCGCGCGTTAAAACATTTCTGTGCAAAATAATAATAATATTTGACAGGAATATAAATCTGCGTATCAGTGTGGAATCCGTGAAAATATTAATATATAAATGTCGAACGAATTTATTCGAAATTTAAGGGCTAATCTTTTTCCCACTCGTTTTCAAACGTCGCAGATTTTCGCCGAGTAAACGTGAAACGCGAATACCGAGCTTTCAGTTACCATCGTTTCGTAAATTAATAGGAAGTTATCGCAAATCGACGATTAATCGCGTGATTTCTCCCCGTCGCATCGTATTGGCGTTTCGGGAAACGTACACGGGGAGAATTTCCTCTTAAATTTTATCCTGAAAAATCACGTAATCGTGGCATTTTGAAGAGCTTTATGAGAGTTTTTTTTTTTTAAATTTTACCGTACATTTTACTGATAAAATGCATACAAAGCACAATTACCAGTGGAATGTATGGTAAAATTTCAAAAAACTGCCATAAAGTTTCTCAAAATGCCACGCGTCGTCCCACGATTACATGATTTCCAGGGTAAATTTCAAGAGAAAATTCTCTCGGCGTAGTAATTCTCCGCGTAACCGGGCGTTTTAGATCGAAACTGCCAGGTTTTGCCAGGAGGCAGCCACCGTTTTCGATGGCTGAGCCTTGCCAAAGCTCAGCAGTCAACCACGATGATATATAGATATATGCATACGAGATGATATCGCGGGCGGGATATTTGGAAGTTTTATTTGATTCCCGGCACCGCGGAAACACGAATACGTCACTCGAAAATGTAACGAAGACATTTACTTTTGTACTTTGTGTACATTGTAACGCTAGAATGGTTGCACAATCGCTTTAGAAATCATCAGCCGTAATCGCTAAGCTCGAACGAGCAGATGGAACTCGCGATTGCTTTTCGATGGCGCTCGCAAGTATCGATATAAACGCCAAAAGCTGAATCTAAATATTTATTTTAGCCGCAGTTTTGAGAATATGCCAAAAAAGTCGCTGGATTACAACCAATAATGAAGCTTTTAATTATCGGAATGCATTCTCTCGCCAGGGAGGGGAAAAAGTTTTAAATCCACTCGAAATTCAGAGAATATACCCCCCTTTTTTTATTTTCTTTACACATTCTCCCAATATATCCCGCGCTTTTTCATATTTATTCAACCGCTCGCCTGAAAACAACGCGAAGCAATAGAGAGTTAAGCAAATTCCTGGCGTAAAACTGGCGGGGACGAGCTACATTTCGAGGAAACGAGCCGGCGCCGACTTTAAATAAAGCAAGAAAGGAAAAAGGAATAGGGAAATCGAGATATATCCAAGACCAACGCCTATGGTCGAGCTTAATTATTTCGCTCGCGCGCGACGCCGGCAGATTAGAATAAAGCTCACTTTGCGGCGAAAAGACTTCGCCTCGAGAGGAGCAAACGCAATCTGAAGTTGCCAAGTGCGGCTAGGAAAGGGGGTAGAATGGGGGAGGATTGGCTCTCGCCGGTCTCTCTGCTCGACCAACACGGATGAAAAAAACTCCGATGGAGTTCCGGCGCGGCCTCCTCGGTCTGGTCTGGCCCCAGGAAGCGGCGAGAATTTAATTAAGAATTTCCGCGGATGGCGAGGGCACCATATTGCCGTGACACACACGCGTCACCCGGCCGCGAATCACGCGACTTTCTTTTCTCCTGCCCCGTAGCCACCCCTAATTAAATTGAAAGAAATCTCACTCTATCGTTCTCCTCTTCCTTGCCCGCCCGTCCGATATCGCCGTCTCTTTCTTGAGATTCGTCTCCCCTCGGCACCGGTTCCCGATCTCTCTCGCCTCCTATACCGTCGAGTCCCTTCGGTGCCAATTCGATGGTTCCGGCTGCGGAAAAGTTTGCGGAAGAGAGGAAGGAAATTTGCATTTTAACCTTCGTATCCCCGAGGGTTTATTTCACTGTACCACTTGTGGGGTACTCGCTATTAATACAGATGAATGAGACGAGCGTGTCCGAAGATTGATATAAAATTAAATCCTCGAGTTGGTCGTTTATACAGATCGCCTCTTTCATTATTTCAATGTTAACTTAAATACTTTTGGCGGATGGTGTTATTTAATAATACGCATATTGCTATATAATATTTAAAAGTAGCCTTTTTTTTCATTGTTATATTACTGTATTGATATATTATCAAATTATTATATTTAGTACAGAGAGAAACTATTTTATTATAATTTATTATGAGTTACGATTACTTATCGTACATGACCGGGATTGCAATAAGTTTAATATTATCTCCAGTCTCTTCTCTGAATGGCAATGTACTCAAATGGCAAAGACACTCGCTAAATATAAATCATAAACAAATGCATATAATGATATAAAATACGTTATATGCTTTTCATTAACTCTATATATAAATTACTAGAACGATTAGAAAAGAAGTCTCGGTAAAATCATATCAAACATATTTTGCATCCAAGTTGTTTTTCTTCAGCAATTAACAGGCTTAAAATAATTTTCTTCATTTTATATCTCGTACTCTTAATATCATCGTTGAAAGTTCGATTGAGAATTTCACTCGCAATTTTATCAACGTTAGATAGATTGTTATAACGGCAGCATCGCAATCGTTGACGTTTGCATTAATCTTACCGCATAATATTTAGACAAAGTTATATTTAAGTCTTAATGTAATATCAAGCTAAATGCGATTACATTACGATGATTGTATGCAGAGCGTGATTAGAGCGATTATTTTCGTTCATCATATCAATTGTTCAATATCAAGAATAACTTCCATGATAAAGTGACATTCTTTGACTCTATTCAATAATAGATTCCAGAAGAGAATCCGTGATGCCTTTATTGCAATATTTGAAATTCCGCTGGAATTCAATAATCCGCTATATTGGGTGCCGTAAGTAAATTCTAATGGAGAGGTATTGGAGTTTCGAGAATCATGGTTAACGAAACAACAATAGCTATTAACTGGTGACAAAATTAGTGGCGATGTGCCTTCGCACGGCAAACTCTTTAGCAAAGTCGAAAGCTCATCTCGAATCAGTGGATGAAAGGCATCTGTAAAATAGAATCGTCGAGCCATTCTCGGAGAAGTCATTTTTTCTAGCTCTGTATTAAACTCCGTTGAACTTTTTCTTCGGTGATACTTTCGCATCACCTTTCCTGAAATGATCAAAATCAACAAAAGATTACAATTTTGTGAACGTGCACGGAGTTGGAGAAACTTTTTATAACTTTGCTTGAGATCTTTCAAAAATCTTAAGATTTTTCTACGAAGGTCTCCTTTACACGTCGATAATATTCTCACTAGGCCATCGCAATTTAAGACGAATCGAATTTGTGTTATTAGATTTATAATATAATATTTGCACCGAGATGCAAAGTACATATAAATTCCGTTGTATAAATTCTTCGACATAATTCGAGCACATGCCATCAGTTCTATTCTTAATGATAAAAAAAAGAACTGGAAATATATCAGTTATTTCAAATTGGAATAATGCAACGAAAGAGAATCGTAACTCAATTTTTAAAAAAGTACTTTAGGTGGGGAAACTTTAAGCTTACAGTTAAGCAAAGTTCGGTTTTCAACTTCGTGCATGATCACAAAGTTGACATTTTTTTTGTCAAGCTTGGACCGTCGATTTGGAAATGGCGTCAGTTGAAGCAGAAATATTGCCGAGAGGAAAACTTGCCGAGATTTCGAAGTAGAATCTTTAGGATTTAAAATAATTAGTTTAATGCCTCTACAATTATATATTTTACGCAAAGTTATGTAAATCCGTATTGCACCTTGTTTACTTCTGACTGTAAGCAACCCTTTAATCTTCTTCAACAATTTGTAATAACTCGCGTATGAAGCTATCGATATCATACCTTTTGCACCTTTAATCATTTCACGCGAAAAAGATTTTATGATTTTTTTTAAAATTAAATCTTATATTACACAACACGCTTGCGATGTGTGTGTGTCAATTATATTTTCTATTTTATTATTTATTCGATATCTTCTCCGTAAGATTTAACATTTAATATCCGAATTTAAATATTGAGAACGTTTCTCACATTTCAGAAATTTCTAATTTCGATTCGCGAACGATTAGCACTTTTATCTTATACAACTCACTTGGAACTACTAGATGAAAATTACAGGATAGAAAAGTATTTAGCAGTTCCATTTGAAATCCTCTTTCCTGTCCCTATTGCACACCTCTTACCTTCCTCCCCTCGGATGATACTATAATGCACCATTCTTCTTTTTGACGTTGATTAATGATTCTTTGGCAATGCACATGCACACGCGCGCGTACGTATTTATGTGTGAAGCGCGGTATATCTCCTTCTCGTATAATACTTCTACATTCGATTCTCGAACGCCATTCTCAGGAAGAAAAAAAATGTATCCGAAACCTTATTTTCGGAACCTTAACAAATAGTTCGGAACCTTAATAAATATCACTACATTTAAATGACATTAGAGAGCGGCATAATATTTAAATCTGTTGTGCATTGTAATACAATTTGTTGTATTTCATAAATTAAAGGAGAATATACCAAGGTATCTAACTAAATTAAAGCTTCGAAGAGAATAATTACTGAATGAAAGTAAATCACGAAAACATAAGTCTTTATAAGTTTACTTGTTGAAAAATCATACGATTAGGGAGATTTCAGGAAAAGAATAAGACGATCTTCTATACGACCCGTTTATTATAAGCTTGAATTATATATTAAATGGTACTCATATTAAATATATAACTTAAGATTTTAAATATATCTTCTACATATCTTATACATATCCTCAAACATATGTGCTTACACGTCTGAAAAGAAAAATGATAATAACATGCTATAATAAAGCTATAAGAGGAATTAATGATTAAATCTTTGATGTATCACCGCTCTGCATTGCCTCGCGGTGGAGCTGCGTGTGAAAGTTCTTGAAAGAAAAAAAAAATAGAAATGAAAAGAAACGAAACGTAATGATAGATATTCCTCGCGTGAGGCAACGGAATATCCGGCGTCCGCAAGACACACTCCGCGCGTATTTCTGGGCTGCAGTTGGGATCGTTCGATGTAATTGGAATTGACTGCTTCAGAATCGCCGTTCGAAGCGAATCACGATTTCTCGATCCGAAAAGCGGCGATCGACGTCCGCTTTCCCGAATGTTTCTCATTCTCTCTTCACTGCGCTACTATAATTAGCTGTGTAATTATCAGCCGAGGTGAACTCCTCGTTTTTTAAGTATTTCTTCACGTATCGTATTTACATCGCGTGTACGTAAAAGAGCACAAGTCTTTCATTAACTTCGGCTTCCAGTCGAAGAGTTTATCCAAATCTTCCCCTTTTTCTTTTTAAAGCTTATCTAACGCGAACATTTCAAAACTTTTCGCATTTTTATGCCTTTCACGTTTGCTCCATATGCATTACGCTTGCCTGTTTCGCTAAGAAATAGGATTTAAAGACAGTTCGTCGTTTTGAAATTATCTCGCAGAAGAAGCTCACCGTTATAACGGTCAAGAATCACGGTCTTCATTTCGGTCTCGCAGACGCGTACAGGACATTTGTTTGATCGCAAAAAGTTCCGCCGATATTCGAGGCGAAAATCACCGATAGCAGCGCGCAATTTGCACGTCGTGAACAAAAAAACAACGATATTCTTGAAAGAGATCGCCGAATGATTTCTTTCGCAATCTTGAACGTTAGGAAATTCATCTAAGATACATAACAAATGCCAGTTTCACAATTATTTGGCGACACGAATGATCAAAAACAGAGCAATCTTGAACAAAAGGATCTTTTTAATATAGTTTGTTTTTTAAGGTTCATGCATAAGATAATAAATAATGAAAGAATGTAATGCAACAAGAGCATAGAATTAAAAAAAACGAAAAAATCCATCTTGAGCAATCTTGGTAGCAAATTAAATTTCAATTAATTTCCTTAGGTTTTTGAAAAAAACTAAATTATACAACTACATTGAATCTTTTAGTGAAAATTCATATAAGTAAATCTCTAAAAGAATGAAGACAATAGAATCTATATTAGCAAGTTTCTTACCTTATATTGTCGAACCTAATTGACACATGTCGGAAAATAATTGTGAAGCTAGGCTTGCGGATATAACATTGTATTGAAAAGATGACCTCTTCTCAGGATTGTATTATCGACACTATCACACGCTAAATTGTCTTGCTTAAAGCCGCGTTGTATGTGTAATAATGTCGCAAATTTCTTTTTACGCTATATTCAGTGGACGGATATACACGAGCTATAATAATTTTGCCTAAAAAAATGTGTTCCTCGTGCATGATTTTCGAAGTACGAGACAAGCGTAATTTTTCCGAAAAAACTTCCGACTGACTCGTCTTCAATGACGAAACCATATATTCGGAGTCGGTATATGAAACTAATGCATTTTAATGACGCTTTAAAATCCATTTCGGTCGAAAATCAAGCACGCCCGTGTGACATAGAGAGTGAGTTCGACATTTTTTTTTTAAACGTCGATCGCGTGATCGCAACGTAGCGCATTTCCCTTTTCAATAATTGAGTCGATTTCGAAAGAAAAAAACCATTTATTTGATTCCAGCGCATACATGTTTTTCAACTTCACTAGATTTCGCGCTTTTTACAGAAATTCGTCGGTTTGCGAACGCAGAAATATATATTATATATATATGTATATATATACACATACACATATACGTATATGCATTATATATATATATGCATGCACAATATAATCTTTCTACTTAACTTACAACAAATGAATAATAAAAATAGGTCTTGCTTGTAGAAGAAATGGAAAGAATCCGGATGTCGTGAAAAAGAAAAATTCAAAATAGGTATCTTCTTTAGAGGAAACTAAAAAAAAAAAACTATTGGCATAGCGATGCCTATTTTGACAATAATGCCAATTTTCCGCAATAATTGTGCATTTTCGCCGTTTAGAATCTTCATTTGGAAACAGTCCACCATTTACTGCTTGACGTTTCGCGTCGTGGAAAAAACCACTTGTCCTCAGTGTCACACATGTACTTTGTATGTAAATCAACTCCGTCCCTAAGTGCTAATTACAGTAATTACGTTATGAACACTTACGAGTAATTTCGTACACTTACGCCAAAAACGGAAAGCTCGTATTTCATGTTTCTGTTCACTTTAATAAAACACTGTAAACTTTTAAGACTAGCCGACACGATTGAATTCGACTAACAATGACATCCAAATAAGTTTTTATTTATCACAATGTTACGTTTAAAAAAAAATGTAAAATTATCATAATTTTATTTTATTATTACTTAAAAATTGTTCAATTATTTTTCGAAGAAATCGGCTATTAACACATTTTGCTAGTACAAAAATGAAATGTTTTTAAAAATTAAAAAAACAATTCACTTGATATCTACGTTTTCGTACAAGTTTTAATTTTAATCCATTGTTAGTCGTTCAGGTCGATCGGCATGCACGCTTATCGTATAGGCGGTAAGTTTCAGTCGAACGGGATTCGCTATCGGTATCGACGTACGCACATAGGTATTCTAAGCTTAATTATATTTGTCGATAGAATTGACCTCATTTCGCATGTTGCGGTTGCTTACGATATCCCGATTCCGTTCAGCTCGCACGCGATCGGATGCGCCGAAAATTTCTCGCAATGTCAAATATCGTGCACCTACATAAAAATCGATGACCTATTGAACATCTCTTTTGGTATCCGCATTTTTCGAATCCACCATGCTTCACCGTTGCAATCGCAACTTTAATGATTCCATTTTGTTCACTTGTTGAAGTAAATTTACACGCGAAGCGGATTTCTTTGAAAGTCTGTTCATTATACAATTTTGTTAATTCTTGGATTAATATATTAATTGGTCAATTTCGCAACAGACGCATCCGATTAAGAAAGCAAGAAGCACGGTGGATTCGAACGGGTACGTTTAACTCTTAATTGCGCCTCCCCGCAAAACTACAGTAGTCTATTTTCCCGCGAGTAATTTTTCTTTTGCTAAATAATTTACATCACATCGTCGTGTAGTATTGTAGAAAGTAGACTAAAGGAATTACTTTCCGCCGAAAAACGCGGTTAAGAGTTAGACCCCCTGCTGAACTATCGCTGGAATTTCCGTGGCTAAGACATCGACTAATTCGTCAATGCACAATGCGATTTATTTCTAAAATGGGTAAAAACATGACCGCGCTATCAACTAGAGTCACCTGTAAGCTCGAAATTACGGTTACTGAGTCGCTTCTCCGTTTTAAGCACCTAGAGCATACACCTCGCAAATTACTCAATCTCGAGAGAAATCCATTAGGAAACCCGGGAAGAAATGTCCAAGAATATCCATCAAATAACCGACGTTTCCGCGTGGATTAACGTTTCATCATATTGGGACAATCCATACGAATATTAATATTTAACGAATTCGTCTAAGTTCTCTCTCTCTCTCTCTCTCTCTCTCTCTCTCTCTCTCTCTCTCTCTCTCTCGCTCTCTTTCTCTCTCTCTCCGATCTTACGAGACAGGTTTGATCCGACATGCTTTCGCTCTAGTTTCCCCTACAACACACGGGTCAGACTCGGGAACGTCGCAGGAAACTGACACGACGATCTCTTGGTCGCAAGACCGATAGTGTCAGAAAGTTCGCAGCTTAATTTTTCATCCAAATTCCCAGGACGATTCCAAAAAGTTCCAGGCACGGCTTCGTTACGCGACTCACTAGTTAAATTATCGACGATATATATCAATCGACGTGTATCACGAAGTATATATTAATTTTTTTTTTTCGATTCATCAAAAATTTGTGTACGAGCTCTAGGACTCTCGGTCGCTCTAAGATAGCAAAAATAAGCATTTGTATATCCAGACTCTAGAACTTTTCGGATACATTTCGCAATTACGATCAACTACGCGGTCAGTGTTGTTTGGATCTTTGTGAATTACGTGAGCTCAACTCTTTCAATATCAGTAATTAATAACATACGAAATTGTATTAATTATTCGAAATTAAATTAAAGATTTATTCGGAAAAGAAAGCCTTCGTGGTATCTATTATATAATTTAGCATCGAAAGAGAATCAGCCGGAAAATTTGACATTCCCCATAGCGAGAGGAAAATCTCGAGGGACGTTTGCCGCGACTCGCGATTTTTATCTCGACGACGAATTTCGACACTCTCGGCCTACTTATTTAGCAGCGACATTGATTAACGATTATTGTTCCGTCGACGAGAAGGATACAAAGTAATATATTTACCTAGGGAGAAGCACCAACGAGTCGTGAACGTACAGCTCTCAGCTGAATTGTATCTTTCTTCCTCTCTCTCTCTCTCTCTCTCTCTCTCTCTCTCTTTCTCTCTTTCTCTCTTTCTTTCGCTCTTTCTCTCCGTTTTTCCTAAGGTCGATGCAGCAGATTTGAAGTTCCGCGACGTTAAAATCGCGTCGCGGACTCGTCCATTGATCGATGACTAAACTTACACTTTTACATGGTCTACTGGTAGTAGCGGTTTATTTATATTAGTTGTACCTAATGTATACCTTAATACCTAATATATTCTAATATAATCTAAATATATAATATATATTGTGTACGTAATATATATATATGTATAACGCGTAACACTAGTAAACGTACAATATTTACTGTATAGAGTATATTCAATATTTTCTATATAATATCATATATATATTTATTTATTTATATATAGCGCTGCAAGCGACTGCTTTTTCGTATTCACCTCTGTGTTACTTTAATTACATGTACAATAATATAATGTATATCTTTCTTTCATGTTTATTTATATATATATATATATCTATATATATTTATGCAATATATTTAGATTTCTTTGCACAGTGCGTCCTTCGGGAAGAACATGCGCTATTAATGCTTGACACTCTTCCGCAGCGCGGTTTGAAAATTTTAGATTTTTATTCTTCTAGTGAAATATCGAATTCACTCATTCATTGAACTCGCTTCGCTCGCAACAAGAAAAAATATACAATTCTGTCCACTTTGTTTAAATATGGCTGCTTGCATCCAACCGTAAATGAGCTAATGTGTCTTACATTCGAGGTAAAACAGAATTTTAGAGACAGACAGCCACATTCAGAGCAATAGATGGTCCTGTTGAGATCGATCTCGTATTGAAGAAAGGACAAAGGAGAAGAGAAATCTAATTTCCACAACTATTACACTTGGCTAATAATTCGCGCTTTTATTCGGGACGCCAGCAAGAAATAATGTAGTAATAGCGCATACCAGTTTTAAAAGGGGCGCATTGTGCAGCGATAGCGTGCGCCTTAAAGCACTATGAGGTTACTTTTTTTATAGACGATAGAGATCGTTGTACGCACGGCGTTGTACGTCAGCGAGTCTTAGCTCTTCATCGTCCTTTTCCCGTCTTGCCCTCCACCCGCACTCACCGCCGTGTTCTTACAAATATGCAGTTATGCAATTAAAGCAACTGCGGCGCGAATTCTAGGATTGGTTCGCGTCTTGCGAGATGGCCGCGTTAAAATCTAACTTTACCAGACCAATGTGTCTTACATCTTAAAAATTGACTTGGATACCGCCGACCGCGGAATCGAAAAGGCTTTGAGAAGCAGGAATCGAAAATAATATAAAACATATCGATGCATTCATTTCTTCGGTTTTTATATATATTATAATAATTTTATATATATTTATATATATTATATATATATATTATAATTATAAAAATTTTATATATATTATAATAACCGCGAGATAGAAAGACCGATTGGTATAATGTAATACTAATAATATATAACTTTTCGACGTTACAATGGCATTTCGATATTATTATAGTATTACTATTAAAAAATCTGATTTAACAATATCGGCAATTCAATATTATAATAGTAATACCGTTATAATACCGTTATTTTCAAAAAATTAGATATCAATATTATTAAATTTCGGTTGCATCGATATTTCACGTTCAACATCGAAGATTAAAGAGTTTCAGTGTTGTGATTTTATAAGATAAAGATATATATACTACGCCGATGCGCAGTTATTAGTAAAATGATTTCAGTGTTCGATCCCTGCTTCAAAGGACCTTGAAAGAATCGTGTGAGAAAATCACACGGAATTGTTAAAACGACGCTTTTAGCGAAGTCTATCCCAAGCTCTAAGCGCGCTTAAATTATTTGTTTTGGCGATTTAGTGTCTTGGCGGTTCGAGTCCTCGATTTCGAAGGTCGGGGAGCCTTCGTGAATCGGGATACCCGCGAGATTACGGCTCTGGGGATCTTTCGACTCGATAATCGGTGATGATTTCGGGATGCATTTGCATCACATAACCGTCGTTAACAGCAAACATCTATTGCAACATGGATATGAATTGGCAGAATTTGTTTGAGCAATATATTAGTGGATATTTTGAATGGTCTATTATTATATAAAGATAATGTTATGCAGCAATTCATAATCGAAAATGATCGGGCACAAATTAATCCTTAAACTCCGAATTACACCGTGCAAATCTATAAATAAATCATATTAAAATCAAAGAAAATACTTTCCGTATACACATTATGTATTAAAATAAATTATTTAAATAAAAAGTTATATATTCAACATCAAACTCAGGTTCCGTGATTATTAGTTAAAAGTGGAAATCTGATATTCTCTAATCAATCATATTCAATTTCTTGATAATGACTTCGGAATTTAAGGAATAATCGTGGAAATAATTTTTATAAAGAAAACGAGAAAATAAAATACAATCAATTTCCAACGGACTGATATTCTGAAAATGGAAACAAATGCTTTCGATTATCTTTTCACGTATCGCCAGTCACAAAGGAATTGTAAATCGCCAGTTTACAAAGGAAAATAATTAACGGAACAAATAATATCTTACAATATTTTACTAAAATTTGATTTACTCATCTCATACGTTACGAAAATGTTCTCAAGTCCGTGAGAGCTCGTAACCTCGTAAACGTCGCCTGCATCTCCGGCCTATTTTGAGCAACGGCCCATTGATAAAGAAACTGAAGACGTTTGATGAAGCGATGATGAAGCCCTCGCCGACGTTGATCGCGCTCGCGACGATGATTTCTCGCACCACAATTGCACTAGCGTAAATTGGCATTTTTGAAGTACGTATTTCGTCGTGATCTGGCATCATTATGTCTATATCTTATCACAAATCGTCGGTTCACCCTCTCGTCCTCGGCGTGCCGAACATCTGCAACAGAAAGATAGGAGGCCGTTTCGTTAATTGATTTTCACGTATGATATAAGTTATCGGATATATTTTCACTGTTTAAAATATTATCGGCTTTATAACATTTTACAACTAAATAATTTTTTTTCGCTCAGTTTAAACAAGTCTGAAATCCGAACAGTGAGATAACATAAAAATATTCTGCACAGCAATAGCTATATAGAATATTATACATTCATTAAGTAAATGCGTAAGTGAAATATTTAAAAAATCTATAAGTTTTTTCGCGGCATATATTTTCCACTCTACGCGTTTTGCAACGAGCTGCGACTTATAATTAGGCATGATAACTTTGCCCGGCTAAGAGCCTGGCTTCGCAGCACTTGAGTAAATACAGATTTCCAAACTACCTTCGAATATATCGGCAAGAAAGCTGCTAAAATTATCGAGTGACGATCGCGTTTTAGCGGAAGCATCGTAAAACTCCATGCAGGTACATTTCGCGAAAAGATAATAGAAAATTATTATTACCGCCGTGCAACTAAAAGAATAAAATCTATCGTGATGGACAGGGTAATGTTTCGATGTAAAATAATCGTTCAATATTTAAATCATTTCCAATATACCTAATTGCATTTTGCTCCGCTATACCTTAAATAACCGAGCGCATCAGGTTTTAACGAAACTTAAGATCCTCAAGAATTATTTTACATCAGTAAATGACTAACAATGATTAAGCTTCTAATCGACCATAACTGGGCAATTTCAACACAGAAATTGTTTTCATGAAACTAAGGTCAGTCTTAGAGTTTGACACAAGAATATGCAATCAACATCGCGCAACATTTTAACTAATGTGTTTAAGTTTTACAAGCCGCTCCAGAATCTTTAATCTGAACTCTACCGACAGATATTTTTATCAGTTTTTGAATTTGAAATACAATATTTGTAAGTACAGAGTCTCCTGGAACGTTTAAAACCTATTGGATTTGGCGTTTAAGTAATTAGCATTTAACAAGAAAATTCGATAACGGACACTCGATTAATGCACTAGCAAATGAATTCAATCAGCAAAGGCTGTCTCAACGCGATCTCTCGGAAAACGGAAACTTCCAAGACCGTTCAGCTGCTAAAGGGCCGTTTCGGCTATTTTCCACGCGCTTGATCCATTGCCCTAAATTGGTCGAGCTACGCGACGAACGAGTTCCGACCCCGCGGAAGTCGAGCGTGGCATCAACTTTTTCATTCCTGATATTGAAAAGTTTCCCTCGGACCGCGAGAGCCGGAGAGATCAAAATCCCTCTCTTCCGACGTGATCTCTCGACGTCCGTCGGAATGGCCGACGACGGGAGCGACCGGAAGCTAGTTCTGCAGATTGGTTAAAGAGCCGAGGGGAAAAAGGGGTGGGGGTGATTTGAGCAAGAGAAGGAGCTATTGGGAAGAGGAGCAAGGAGTTAGGTGGAGATGACGTAATGCTGTCGTTATATTAGGTTGTTACAAAAATCGTCCATTTCTGCGAGAGTGAGTCTCCGTACAAAAGCGTGCGAAACTTCCGTAACACAGTTTCCAACGAGATTCCGACAAGAAGTTGTAGATGATGGGCAATGAAGCGCAAATATGTGTAATGGGATAGAAGTAAGCGGTTGATAACTGTGCGTATTTACTAATAATTGGAACTACAATATAAGTAAAAAGAGAAGATATTTGATGAAGGGACGTAATAAATAATATATACACGAAGGTCGAGGAAAAAGATGATTAAAGAAAACTAACGGAAAAGGGGGATCATCGAGAAACGCGAAGGTGAAAAAAGTCAAGATGATGCAAATAGATAAGAAATATAAGGCATGGCAGGGAACAAAGGCGAGAGAAGTCGTAATTGTTCCCTTCGGAACAAGGACAATGAAACAGGATTAAGATAAAGAGCAAATAAAGAAAAATAATGCGGAAGGATGTATACATTGCGAGTGAGACGGAGTTTAAAGCAGCGAGGACGTGATGAGATAATAAATATCGCGAAAGATAGGCAAGTGAGGGCAAGAAGCAAGGAATGTACAGAGGAAGACTGTGTTAAGAGAGCAAGAACGATGTGGCGAGATAATAAATATCAGGAGAGACAGAGGAAAACAAGGAGAGGTTGTTCCAATTCGAAGAATGCAAAGGAGCGAGGATAGCAGGATCAAGATCGAAGCCGAAGTAAAAATAATGTATAAGCGAGCGGCGCTAACAAGGTTGACGATGCAGGATCAAGATAGGGACCCAAGAAAGAAGAACGCGAGGCGAAGTTAGGGGACAAGGACAACAACCTGAAGTAATAGATACCAGGATGCTCCAATCAAGAAACACAAAGAGAGAAGAAGAAGACAAAGAAGTAGGAGCGAAGGGACGAAGCAAAGGTGGGCCAGGTAACGGATATCGGGTTAGAAGTCGAAGAAAAAGAAGTAAAGGTGGAAGAAGAAGAAAACACCATGCAGGGGACGAAAATACGGGAGCGAGGAAGAGAGAGAGAGAGAGCGAGCTCGTAGCTCACATTCGCGATCGCAGCATTGTTTAGCGAGAAGTCGATAGCTGATATCGACGGAGTGAGTCGATGCACGCAAACCTACGCGACGCGAAAGGGACGGGGGAGGAGGATTTAGGGGGGTGAGCAGGATCCTCGTCGTCGCCGTCGCCGTCGTCGTTGTCGTCGTAGTCGACGTCGTCCAAGTGATTTACATGCACGCCGAGGTGGCTTTTACCGTTCGTGAACGTGTTCGTAAACGCGTACAACGATATCCCGTTGGTGTGTACGTATTGCGTGTTTGTGAATACTCGTCTACGTGGATATGCGTGTGCATACAGGCCAGCATCCACCGTCGGGCTAGCTAACGCCGAAATCCGGGAATTGGGTTTCGCGTTGGCGGGCGCGTCATTACTTTGTTTATGTGAACGAGAACGCGCTGAGACAGCGAAGAAAAAGTGTCCCGTACGGGTAGATCCGGACGGGCTAGTATTTACCGGACGGCTGGTAGCCGAGCGGTAGCGCGAGCATAGCGATTTCACCATTTTTTCCCCAGCTTTATGCATGCGGCTGATCCACTTTGTGAACGACGACCAATCGCCACCAGCCCCCCCGCCCCCCGCCGCCTGCATTGGCAGCATACCAATACCAAACCGATCTCCGTTTGTTCGTTCGACCGATGTACTTCGCTCTTGCTACGTGGTATTTCTTCTCTCTTGTCACTTCCGTTTCGCTCAGTCTTTCTATCAGAAAGATTCGCGCGAGAGGATAATGCAAAGATAGTTCCAAGATGGAGTACAGAGAAAAGATGGAAACGTTGAATATAAAAGGGAGATTAAACTATAAGAAGCGTTGTATGTAAAATTCCACAAAATTCCTGAGATTTAATTAAATAATTGGCACATGTTGAATAATTGGTACGTCGAATCGTTATTCAACCTGCTTACTAAATAAGTAAAACGCAAAGTAAAATTATCCTCGCGGGAACATTACATTTGATAATTAATTTAGGAAATGGCGTTGACTTATCGATTCTCTTAAGTAACGATCTAATCGTGTTGATTTGTTAAATGATTAATTACGTCGGTTTCAAAATTAGATATAATATTAATAATTTAGAACACTGTTCTACGACACATTAAGTTTTAAGTTGGGCACATTCTTCTTGTAATTTCTTATTTCAACGGTTCCATCACATTTCTCGACGATCATATTCCCCTGCGACCTTGAGCAAGACGTCGTCGCAGACGAAGACGTCGACGTTCGGGTGAGGAGGCAGGAAATGTACATCGACTAAGTACGAGGGAAAAGCGAGGCGAAGGAGCAAACGGAAAGGAGAAAAGTGAAAGGAAGAAACTGTGTCTTTGCGCAGACCTTTCGTCGAAGAACGCAAATCCACGAGTAGATTTAACGGCGCTTTAACGATCACGATGCGTAATATGTTACGCATATTATTACGAGGTGAAAACGCGTTTCGTGTAATCGCGAGCCGCCAATGGAAACGCCTATGCGTAGCCAGTTCTCGCTGTTAATGCGTTGCGAGAGCATCGATTTCGAATGGATCATAATAAAGTCATTAAAGCCACACTTGCAAGTGGTAAGAAGGTAGATTTTGCAATAGCCGAGATATAAATTATGGTTGATCATTCGAAAAATTAGGTCTATGTAAAATTGCGCTTCCACAATATAAAACGTATCCTTTTGGTTGGATTAATAAGTCTAGGAATGTGGTAACTACGAACCACTAAGCTAGAAAAAGTTTCTTTAGACAACGGGGTCGCGCGAAGATTCGACGATTTTCTTGACACGTGTCTCGGGCGTGGAAATTCGGTGGATCTCGATAGCGACGGAGAGGGTAAAATCGGTAGGCGAAAGAGTGGTAGCTGAACGTTCATTCATTCGCACAAGTACAAAAGCTCTCTCAGCGGGATGAAAGATCGGGCGTCGATGCTAAAACGCGGCTCCCTGCCTGGACCTGCTAATGGATTCTGCACTCCGATGTCATCTTCCTCTTTTTTCACCAACTCCGGCTCGAATCCATATACTTTCCGCTTGCCGCGCCTCGATTCCAGGTGCTCGCGTTTCGCGTTTTCGCATGGTGTAATGTATAATTGGGCGAAATTAGAATCGGGATACGTTCACTCGCTCACCCATGCGATGGAGAGAAAAGTTGGGGTATTTTGCGATTTTGCATTCATTATTACGATAGATACCGGAAATCAGCGCTACGTCCAAGTAGGATTTAAGTACTTAATGGACGGCGCTTAAATACTTAACGGCGAGAAAGAGAGATCAAACAATCGGCATAGATCCTCGGAGGAATGGGAAAAGATAGTTTTATCTTCCGGGTTCACGTCCCCACTACGATTCGTGATTTGAGTTAGCGGCAATTTCGAGGGGAAGTGTCTTATTGCCCGCGACTTTATTTTCGAGTCTTACGGGTCTCGCCGGGCGTTTATTCTTCCTTCCTTTTGATTGCGTAATCGCAGTAATTCAACGGGCATCGCCTGGCTACATCTGC